AGCTCCACATTCTTCTAAGCTCATTAGCGCCCCTCAGCTTTCAGTTAAAATTCCTACATAACTACTTTCCAGCCTCATCTTCAAAAAGGAAATAAAACGTATGTGATGAGAAGACACTAATCACACTGATTTGACACCAGCACACCATATCCACCTGATCTTCCTCTACTTGTTCTAACCTGAAGCCAGAAACAAGAGTTAGCTGCTGAGCACACCAGTTTAATCTGCTAAGAACAAATCATCTCAGCGGCTCAAATCAATCACTGAATTATCGCCATCAAATTGGCAGATTTATGAGAAATGGTTGGATATTTATCAGTGCCTTTTCTTGTACCTCACAGTAACTGACAAAGATTTCAAAGGGTACTTAGCAAAGTAATACTTGGAGTCAAAGAAAATTATCATTGGGTGGGGAAAAATATTATTGGGGGCTGGGTAAATCACCTCACTTCACTCATGCATTTTATTCAGCTAACATTTACGAATTATTTCAGGAACAGTGCTCTGGACAGATAGAAGTAAGAGAGGAGTTACCACTGGCTGAGTGGTTACCTTGTATTCAACATCATTATAGGTGACTTATGAGAATTACCGCATTTAACAAATTACTGACGTAGGTACTAATATACTCTCATTTCATAGCTGAGGAAACCAAAAGATTACATAAGATGCTCCAAGATACTAAGCAGGTAAAAGCCAGTTCAGGGATTTAAATACAAGTATTCTGATGTTAGAGCCTGTGTACTAAGCCAGGCTTCTGAAAACTCTAACTCGTGGGTCAAGGCCAGCCTGCCATCTGTTTCGGTGCAGCTCTAAGAACAGTGTTACATATTTAAATGGGGGGGGGGTCAAAAGAAGAGTATTTCAAAACATGTAAAAATTACATGAAATCCTAACTTCAATGTCCATAAACTGGAAGAGCCACACTTGTCCACTGCTCTGGCTGCTTTCACATTACAGTGGCAGAGCTGAGTAGTTGCAACAGAAACCATACATGGCCTGCAAAGCCTGCAATATTTACTATCTGGTCCTTTACCAAAATCTTTACTGACCTCTTCTCTTAGCATTTCCACTTTATGCTTATTTAACATCTCTACTTGGATGTTTTAAGTAGTATCCCAAATTTACCATATCCAAAATCAGCATTATGATTTCTTCCAATACCCACATCCAGATCCATATTTTAATAATCTTCCACTACAGAAAATCCATCCTTCTGGCTATAAAAGCCATAGACCTAGAATATCTTTCATTTTTTCTTTCACTCATGTTCAAAACCATCAGCAAATCTGGTCAGCTCTGCCAAACACGTTTCACTGCCTCCACCTCTAGCACCTTGGCCCAAGCCATCACCATCCTTTTTCTGAAGTACTGCTATTACCCCTTATTTAGTCTCTCTTCCTTCAGTTCTTGTCCAAGACAGCAGCCAGAATACTCCTCTGCTCACAAACCCTCTAGCCTCTCCAGACATGCCAAGCACACCCCTGCTTCCAGGCCTGGTGCTGGCTTGCTTCCCCACTGCGGCAGACTTCTTCCCAAATGCCATCCTATTAGACAGGCCCTCCCTCTCCACCTGACCCCACACCTGCACTCCTAGGCCCTGGGACTCCTTTTCTCCTGCTTTATTGTTTGTCGTATTACCACAATCTGCCACTCAATATATTGACTGGGTTTCAATTGAATTTAAGCTCCACGAGGGTAGATTTTCTTCATTAGTACATCTCTGGCATTACCACAGCTTGATATATATTAGGTAGATATCTGAATGAACAAGAAAACGGTCTTGACTTTCAAGAAGCACTAAGTTCAGGTGAAGACATTTAACATGTAAATATCTGTACTGAATGGGGCTTAATAGTGTATTTCTTATTTTACCTACTTTCTTATTAAACATCCTATTCTAAACCAATCAAATTTAGGGGGGGTCTCACTCAAAGGGAAAAGAAAGCTAGCTTGTAACCTCATGGTCTATGTATGAAATTACTCTAGACAACAGATAAACTTCATTGAACAGGGCCCTGACTGGGTGCTCAAACCTCCATTCTTAAACGCACTGCCTCCTTTAGTTTCAGCCTTAATTTCCTTCTTTGCGTCTCTGTCAAACTCTAGGGCCATGCAGACTGGAGGTACTGCCTCTAGTCCTCCTCCTAACTCTTCTTCTAAACCCTACTATTCAGCTCCTGTCCACCAGTTTTAAGAGTCATTCATTTCTTAGCCATAAGTGTAGTGAAACAGCTTTCACAAAGACAATTTATCCTTTAAAACACTACCGTTTTCTAAGAACGTGTTTCAGTTTAATGTTTTCGAGAGTTAAGAGTAGCACTCCACTAACTGAATTGATGACAATGCAGTTTCTAAACATGTAAGGAAAAATTGGCGGGGGGTGGGGTTGGAGCCAGGAGGGGGCAGTTCCTGAGTGGTAAAATGCATGAATGAATCAGTTAACACAGCCATACACCAAACTACCAAAGTAGAAATGACATTATCTTCAAGAATGATCTACCTGCTTGGCTTCTTCATTTCCTTGCCACTTTTTAACTAGGAAAAGCAGTTACAGTGCTAATGTATTGATTTTTAAATAAGTACATGGGAAAGCTGCAGATGTGGTAAAAGAGAATTACTGACAAGAAAGAGTCGTACCCTTTCCTCCAGTCTAGCCAGCTGCTCTTTGTAGAATGCATCCTGCTTCTTTATCACCCGATCTTTCTCTTCCAGCTGCTTAGCCTAAAAACAGAAATGAATATACTATATCAAGAAAAAGCAGCAACAGCAAAGCAAAAGTCAAGTATAAATTACATTAGAAATGAGTATACAAAGCTGAAGATTTTTGCAAACTATTAGGTCTCTGCCACAGAAAAACATTAATAAGATGATGATTGCTGTATTTAAATGTAAAGAATGAGTCTGCATTGTATTTTTTTTTCAAACTATAACAGCTGTGTCCTACTTTGTTCAAATGTATTTGGAAATGTCAGAAGTTTTATTCAACTTCTCTTTCGGAGAGTAATTTCAAGGATTAATATTCTGCACAATAAAACCTCGATTTTATTCCAGGCATAAGACACATAGTTATTAACCTTGTTTCTTGAACAACAACAAAAAGATGCCTATATAACATTTTGTATATAAACCTTACGTTTGAGAACCCTTAAATTACCTGGTGAAATCTGCATATAAAGACATGTATTGTTCTACCTTGTCTTTCATGAAATATTATTGTCTTTGGAGAAAGGGGCAGAAACTATTATAATTGTTTATCTGAATAATTTAAAATAATATAATAATAAAAATAAAAGTAATTTTTAAACTCTTAAGTTATTCCACCTCTAATTTACAAGATCTTTTTTTCACAAAATTAAAACTGAAGTGATAAAATATTGATTCTTGAAAAAATTATAAAGATGGTTATTTATGGATTTTTTCAAGATAAATTTTAAAAATGCATTTCTTAAACTGCTGTTTCTACCTTTATTATGTTTAAGTGAACTTTATCTCTGAGAGAACAGACCTCCCTACATCACTCCATGTCAGAAAAGTTTTTAACATGTATTTTGTTCAGTGAATGCTGAAGATATGCCTGATCAAGAATTTTAAGAAATAAACAAAGTATATATTTTTGGCATTCCTGTTCATACACCAGTCGCCTGGCTCAATCTGTGTAGGGTGACTGTCCACTATCTGCTTAGTTTAGGTGAACACATTTGCATATTTGTAGCTCATTGTTTTGCTACTTACTTTGACTTCAATATCCTGCAGCATGTTAAAAACAAAGGAAGAGTTACTTAAGTTTTTTTTTCCCACTAATGTCAACAGAGAAATCTGATGGATAATATCTATTTAAAATGCAAACCAAAGAAGGTAATGGGGGAAAAAATAAGAGGATGTGCTTTACTTGGGACATATTTAAATATCATTGTTCTATTACAATTTGAATAGAAGATTTCAATGAAACGATCATGTTGCTTCAAAGTATATGAATAAACGAAACCAAAATATCGAGATCACATATAGATACACATATATGCAAGTACATAATCTATGGTTCCTTGGTACAACACAGTAAAGACCACACTAGGCTCTCAGGAATGGAAAAGAAAAAGTAAATGTTGAAAGGATTGCTGATAAAGCTACCTGTGAATAAAATATGCATGACTATATGACGTAACGAGAAAAGATCTTTCTAAATTCAACATATACCCTCAAATATGTCCATGAATGATTGAAAAGTTGTGCTGAACACTGGAATTTGACACAACACTGTAAAATGATTATGAATCAATAAAAAATGTAAAAAAAAATATACCCTCAAAATATAAACAAAGGAAATGCAAAAGAATGGACCTACGGGAACCTCCACTAAATAAAAAAAATTAAACAAAATGATTAAGCAAATGACAAAGAAATACCAACCCCCAACTGTGAGATTACAGTTACTAACATATAGATCACTTAAAAATTAAGCCCTCCACCCAAACCCACTCCCAAAGAGAGCCAAGAGAAAAACACATAAATGACATAGACTGGCAATTCACATAAAAATACAAATAATAAACATTTTTAAAAATACCCAATCCCACAAGAAATCAAAAAATTAAAATAAAAATAATGAAATTCTGTAATTTATCAAACTGATAAAAACATAAAACAATGTTGCCAAGGATACAGGAAAACAGGCTCTTCAAGACATTGCTGGTCAGAATGTAAACTGGCACAACTATTTTTAAATCAATTTGACAAAATGTAAGTTAAGTTTTAAAAATGTACATATGCCCTGAGATCTAAACACTACTTTCAGGACTTAAGTAATTATGGCAATATGCAAAGATATTCATAATACAGTTATTTAGAATTGCAAAGAAACAAAAACAAAAGCCAATGCAATGGTTAAATTTAAATAGACTCAAAATACACTAAGTAAAAAAAGAAAAAGACTATAAACAGAAAGGACAGTATGATCTCTTTTTTGTAAGAAAGAAGGGAAAAAAAGACCAGAAGGATATTCAACAAAATTGTCAACAGAGGTTATGGCACAGTGGTAGGCTTAAGGGTAATTTTAATTATGTTTGTTTCTTTATAGTTTCCAAATTAAAGTGTAGTCGAGTGACAAAGGAGGGCATTCTCTGAGGTGAGGGAACTATTCTGCTTCTTGAGTATCATGGTGGTTACATAATTGCATGGATCTGTCAAAATTCATAGGACTGTATCTCACAAAGGATGAATTTAACTACATTAAATATAAATGATTCCAAATAAAGCACATTAAAATTTATGAGAGTAACTATATGAATATGTGGATACTGCTTCAGCCTAATACAGTCTACACCAACCACCAAACTTAACTTTGAGGTTGATTACAACCTAAATAAAGGATATGCAGAAATATCCACATTCACTTTTCTGAGATGTAATCCTTGAAATTTTTTAAAGCTGATTCCAAAAGGTCAGAAAGGCACACTAAAGAGGAACTACCTCTGAAGACCAGAAAACACTCAACTACAGGCTAACGTCACAAATCTCTCCCGAGACTGCCAACAGAATCAATAGTTTGTGAGCCACTGGGGAGAACAACAGAGCAAGAAACATGGCCACAACCCCTCAACGGCACACTGCTTTGAAACAGTTAATGTGATGCTGGGAGGGAAAGTCACACAGTACAAATCCCGAAACTTAAATAAGCCTGGAATACACTGACTAAGCTAATAGCTGCTGAGGATGGAGAGACACACTCAACTTAAGAAAAAGCAGTATACCAAGTCCAAGGAATAAAACTTCCATGTATAACTCCCCAACAGATATGGAATCACTGTAAACGAACAAGTAAAAATAAAGAGCATTACAACATTATTCACTGTCATAGTACAATTGTTTCCTAGAAAGATAAATAAAAAAAGTTTCCCCCGTCTCCAGTTTGCGATTCCGCCTCAAGAAGAAATGTGTACTGATTAGTTTTCAGATCCTGTTATATTTGGGATAACATGATTGGGATTGAAAACATGACAGAAAGTGCTTAAGTGGATCATTATGGAAAACAGGAGCGTCCCACATACAAGAAAAAGAAAATAAGGAAATCAAGTTTTCTTTAAGAAACCCAGCATATCAACATTTTGATGTTTTAACTCAGTGTTGGTGGCCAGATTAAAAATGAAGTATACATGTATTTATTTCCTTAAAGACTTGCTTCTTTTCAGAAGAGTCTTTAAAGTGCTCACAACAAAGGATATAATAAAGTCAACAAATAAAAACTGGGATTATGGCTATGACACATTGTACTGGCAGGATCTCTACCTTTCCACATATGTTCCTAGAGAAATCTTCATCGTGAAAACTCTTAAGCATAGTACCTCAGCCCTCTCAGGCCTGGCTGCTCCCGGGGACTGAGACACAGCACAGGGTGCACAGCGTTAGGAATACAGTGACATCACAATCACTTAGCCCAGAAGTCGTACTGTTACTTCGTACATCAACTACAAGGCATGTTAAGTTTTACTTGTACATTTTAAATGACAAAGTTTCTTGAAATGCCAGTTCTCAGTTCTAACAGCTCAAGGTAAAAAACAAAGCAGGTACCTGCTCAATTTTCCATGGGATGATACGAAGCCAGAGATTACTGGGATTGAAAAAAGGCAACAACCCTAAATCAATCTAAATATGAAATCCCTATAACTACACTTGTTATCATTTTAAATCTTGTAATAAATCTGAAACACACACATAATGAATTGAGAAAGATTCAATATTTCAAAATCATATGGCTAATCTGTGGTCGCCAACATCAATCTACACATCTATCAATTTACACAGGCAAGTAAGAGCAGGGAAAAGAGCTTTATTCCATGTCAGAACTACATATAAGGCACAACTACAGGAACCTAACAAAATTACATGCAGACACATAACAGAGAAAAAGAACAGAAATATCCAAGGGGGCTGAACCATAAACTTTTAAGGTAATACTACATTTAGAAGCTGTAGAACACGATCACTGTGAATACCACTTAGCTGTAACAAAAAAATTAAAGTGGCCATGTATTCAATTAGCTGAATACTAGACTTCCATTATAAATGAGAAATTACATAGGGTTCAATGAGCCTTTATCAAGTGGCATTAATAAACAAAGAGTTTTACTCAAAGCACTGTTTTCCAAACCACACCAAAAAGTGACCTTCAAAAGGGTAACTCATCTAGGTGAACCTTAATTGCGCCTAACATGTCATCAACTTTAGAATACTTTTCAATGACTACTTAGAGGCATTAAGCATAAGCTATGAGCAAACCCCAGCCTGAAATGTTAAACCATACTTATGTCCACTAACCTATAAGACCTGACATAAGTTGAAAACAGACCAAGAGATGAAAGACAATGATGATTGTTCCAATAAACTTCTTGATCCCAAGTATGGAAGTCACATCCAGGCTCTTAGGATTTGACTAAATCCATTTGTTTCTGTTTTGTCTTCCTAAGAAGAGCTTTAGGAACCCTGGTCTACATATCTGCTTCTTCATACTCGTAACGAAGTAGAAACAGCCTAGTGAACATATCCTCTGCCATTTTGGGCATATCTGCTTCTTCTCTTGAGAAAAGAGAGCACAGGCAAAGATAAGTGGTTTTTGAAATTAAAAAGCAACACCAATAATGGATGAAGCGAGGAGGCTGTTAGGTAAACAAATTTAGAACAGAAAATGACCTAGTGGTACTCTGCTTTAAATTTTTCAGTAGTTCTCACGTAACATTTCTGCAGATCACCCTACCTGACAAAAGCAGCAAACTAAAACACTAGACGAAATCAGGAACAATTTTACAAGCTTTCTTCTATAGCTTTAGAGAGAAAAAAAGAGTTCTAAACCATACATTAACTTCTCCAGGTTTCTAGTTTAATTCAGAGCTTACTAACACTATGACACAGCACAAAGTCCACCTGGGGGGGAGTCAGGAGACTTGGACGCTCCAGCTCTGCTAAACCACCACATGGCCATGCACTGATGCAGCCCAGATCCCACTTATGTTCCCGAACTCCTTTCAAATGTTCTTCCTTCATGCAGCTTTTGCCACATCATACCCTTGGGCTGCCTCACGCACTTTTGTACCTAATAAAACTATCTGTTTTTCACTTTGCCTTGTGTTACACATGTTTACTTACAAACAGTCCCTGTCCTCAACTTTGGACTCTCTAAGACAGGAACAGAGATTCTCCCCCTCTATCTTTGGCTCGAACCTAGGTCTGCACCTTCCACAGAGGAAACAAACACTCAGGACATGGCAGCCAAAATGAAATTAGGTGCACTGAGGGCAAAAGTTTGTGGGAGGTAAGTAGATACAGCTTCTAGAAAGCAAATCTGTCACAGCCTCTGTGATTTACTTCAAAATACTACAGCACACACAGTGCAGTGTTATGTGTTCATATCACTTAGGTTAAGCCCCAAACCAGGTGCTGCCAGTACGTTAGTCAAGAACACACAATCCAGAAGCAATCTGTAAGTAGTCTTATCGAAAACTCAATAGTGGTATCTCAAAAAGCAGGAGTGGGTATGACCAGGGCTTCACTCATCCACGTCTTGACCAACAATGATTTTTTTTGCTAGTTAGCACAGTGACTGCTGGACATGAGATTTTTTTTTAGCACAAATGATTCATTAATTGGCACAATAAATGTTTAGATGTTCTTATTAATAAAATGAAAACTTTCAAAAAGATGTAAGGGTTAGCTAACATATTATATACTCCTACATCTGCTTTGTGAACAAATTATGAGTACATTTGAGGTTATGAGAATAAGGCTGGTAGCTTTAACTTTAGGGACAGTTCCTCAGGCATGATCCCTAAACAATCCTGTGTCCGGTCACCAGGTCAGGACACAGATTCTGACCTTTGGCACTATGGACATCTGGGGCTAGATGCTTCCTTGCTGTGGAGAACTGTCCGCTACACTGTAGAATGTTTAGTAGCATACGGGGCCTCCAGGAAGTCAGTAGTGCCACCTGCCCTATCCCCCAACAAAGCTGGAAAACCAAAAATATTCTCCGACATTGCCAAAAATGTTCTCTGACATAGGCAAAATTGCCCCTAGCTGAGAACCACTTGGTGGTCTCAGGCCAACTATAAGCAACTTGTCTGCCTCAAGTGACCCCTCCCTGCAAAGAGCACTAAGAACAGACAGCTGGGACTTCACTGAGTTGTGCAGAGCAGGTAGTATGAACAATTCTGTAGCTGCTTACTAATAAATGTCTTTTGAGTAAATGTCAGTATGTATTGTAGAACTGGGCTGAAGGCTTGTTCACACCATAACCTGGTTGTAGGGCTGCCTGAAAAGGTATAATGTAGAAAAGCAACAAGAGTTGCTCCCATGTATGTAAAGCAGTTAATAACATCCCAATGAGAGAAGAAATTTTAATTATTTTTAAACTAAACAGGAAAAGCATAAAACAGGTACCTAAGCCCTATCTTTTGTATGCCTCCCTGCAAAAACAGAATTAATGTCCATATAACATATAAGATTCTGAATCCATGGATAGGATGTTCAGTTCAGACAGAACTGACATGCACTGGTACTAGCTGTGCAACATTTGTTCTGCTTGGGCAGTGACAATGCCAAACCTGTTGTTAAATATTTTATAGATCATTCCTAAGAACAGGCATATTGTGATTTCATTATAATTTACAAGTTTCATGTTACAAAGCAACATGATATTCCAACATGAAATTTCAACATGAAAGGTGCTGAAACGTATCACCTCATCAGCTCAGTGTCACATATGCTGTGCTCCTCTCCTAACAGCCGTTTAAAAAAAGAACACCCATCATGATACACAGCACATAAGAAACAATAAATAAATGCTGAATCAAAAGTGAAACGAACTGCTAGGGTTTCAGAGTTCTCAAACATGCAGTTTTTGTCTTCTCTAAAGACAGTAGCTTTAGCTCCTATGTTTATAAAATACCAAGTGAATGTAAACATGGATCAAGTCTAAAACACCATGTATAATTAAATTCAGCAACTGCATAGAAAACAAAGTTCCAGAAGACCAGGTTCTATAAAGGAATAAGGAATAAAATAAAATGTCTCAGAGTCATTAGTAAGCTCAGAAACTTTAAGGATAAAAATTATAATTGAAAGAGAAAACATAGTAAAAAGGGCCATATTCAATAAAATTACGGTGTGATTACAAGGACTTAGAGCAGGAAGGGGCTTTTATTATCAAATTCAGCTGCAGAACAGATTGGTACTATAAACCATTGAATGTTACCATTACATGTAAAAGCAGAGTGGTCTCAATTCTAGACCGCAGCTGATAGGCTGTAGAGTGGAAAGGCATTTAGAATTATGTAACCTAAGTTGCAATTACACTAAAATGTCTCTTCTTATTCCATATTGTGGGGAATAATACTTCTACTTCCAGGCACTTACATATAATCTTGTTTTACCATGGAGATTAAAAATCTCGGAAGCACTCTAACACAGAGATGCTAGTTAAACTGTACTATCTACGCCAAGGTATTTGGTGTCACTGATCTCACAAATAAATTGGACAACAACAGGGGACAATTCCTGCACAACTTCTGAATTCCTTTTCTTTATAGTAACTTGTATTTGTTCAATGTAAATTTAGATTTAATGTTCACACTATTAAAACCAATTGGCCAGAGTCAATCTCTTCTCTTGCAATCTACTTCACATTCGGAGCTGGAAAAACATCCAGGGATCATCCAGCTCATTTTATAGGCAGCAGGCTCTAAGCTCCTTGCTGACAGAGGGAATTCTCGAAGGTCAGGGAGAGAGCTGGTTCTGGGACCCCGACATCTTGACAGCAGTACACTTAACATCACTCCCTGACATGTTGGTTTGACAAAGGAATATAATGTAAAAATGACTAATCAAACATTTGTAGTTTTTTCCAACACTACTTAACATGAAGAGATTTATAAAAAGATGTCCTTAACAGTTAGTGCAGAATATCCTTAAAGGTGTCTTCAAAAACACGGAGCATACCAGTTCAGGTCCTCTGGGATGCAGATGCTGAGACAGAAGCAGAAGTATGAGAGACTTACTAGGGGAGGACAAAGGAAAGCAGGAGCAGGTGAGGACAGGGAGAGCCCTCCACGACACGGCAGGTCTGACACCTACGATGGAGGAAGGAAGGAGACAATAGTGCGTCTTGGAGAAAACCTTGGCCAAGCCGGTGGGGAGCCAGAGCACAGAGCCTGCCCATGAGAGGAATCCTGTGTCAAGCAGAATGGCCCAGGTCTAGAACTGCCACGTAGTGTCAGTCAGCACTGCGGTGGGGATTGGCGGACCCCCACGTGGCAGCAGCTTGAGGCTTTCCCCTAACTGCACCCTCCACAGACACACTCCCCTCAAAGAGAGAGCTGAAGGGCACGTTCTCACAGCTGCCCTGTAATCTGACTTGCCAATTAACACAAAACAAAGGAGGCTAACAACCAACTTTGAGCAGGTCTTGAACTTCAGCTTCCAGCTCAAACAGAAAGTAAACCAGCCAACACCAATGAGTTTCTATCTGTTTGTGTATAATGATTCCCTTTAGAACTGCTTCTCTTGTGTAAGCTAGGCGGAGTAAATCCAAGTCTACCTATGGAATACAATTTCATCCAGAAGTTCTGCATAGTAGTAAAATCAACAAAAACAGTCATCAGACAATTAAAGCTTTCATTCCATTGCGACTACTAATTCATGATGATCTCAAGCAAGTTACTTAACCTTTGGGGGTCTTCTTCTTAGTCAAATTTAAGGAGATGGCCTAAATAATACCAAAGAGTTCTCTAACATTCACATTTTATGCATTATATTCACCACAACATTTCTTCTATTATTCATTTTGAATCTACTCTACAGCCAGGCCAGAGGAGATTCAGTAAATGCGTATGTTCTGCTGCCAAATCACTAGGATGCTACAAGCACACATTAAACCACATTTGCAAATAACCATGCATACGTGACACCTGGCTGCCAGAGGCAGCCTCTTCCTCTCTGCCTGACTTGGCACCGCTGGTGGGCTTGCAACCGCTGGTGAAGTGACAGGGACTTCGCCTGCTCTCTGTCACTCAGCAGTATTCACTGTACTGTTTCCTGAACCTAACATCACCTGGCAGATTCCAAGAGTAGACTGAAGGTGAAATGGACAATTTTCTAAAAGAAGTTTAACTCACTGCTGCTAACCAAATCCCACTAGCTCTCATTTTCTACCAAAAACTGACTATGGTCAGAAAATTGGGCATCCTCCTCTCATTTATAGTGCTTTAGCGAGGACAGTACAGCGGGACTACATCACATACACACTTAGCTTACACAACTCCAACTACTCAGGTGGAAGAGGAGAGAGAGAGAGAAATCTAGGCAGTGTGCAGGGTCTCATCCATCCACATGGAAGCCTGGGACAGTCCTACCCCCAGCCTGTCTCGTCTCTCGCATGCCCCAGCCCTTCCTAGGGAATGAGATGCTAGCAGCTCAAGATAGTTTTCATTCACAAAACCCTTAAACAGAAGCCAACATTTCATCTAGCACTCAACCAAAGGAATCTACTGACCCAATAAACAGAGAAAAACAGAATACTGGACTCTTAAGGATAAAACTGAACAAAGAGAATCCTTGCTTCACATGCGGATTTTACTTTTAATTTTTAGCTTTACTAAGGTATAACTGGCAAAGACAATTCACATGCTGATGCTAAAACTAAATTCTTAAGTAAGATGTGACTCCACTGTACACCAAGAACTGAAATTGTAAAAGCATTAGAAGGACAAAAATTCTATTTTAAAATATCCTCAGCAATTGCCACTGGTAATCAAAGTATAAGGAGTACCCAGCCCTTGATGACATCCCATTTTTCCCCAAACCTAATAGTGAGGGGATTTAAAAAAATCTTTAGCCCCTGCACAAAGCCTCCAGCTTACCTGACCAAGGAAAAGAGATGAAGAGATGAGATCATGGGAAAAACTAATGACAAACTTAAGCTTGAACAAAGCAAGATGGGAAAGAAGTCCTGGAGAGGAATGGAAAGAGAATGAACCCAAACCATGAATCATGCAAATGGAAAGCAACAGATGGAAAGGACAGGATGTAAATAAGCCACTTTGGTTCCTAGATCAAGCTGGTTGTAGAGGGATGAGAACACAGCCATTACTACCTATCAGAGGGGCCATGCTGAATCAGACCTCTTTCTGACTCATTCATTGAGCCTGGCTAGCTTAGACTTCGCCTTGTTCTCAACCCTCTTTGTACACTGGTATGAGAAGACCATATGAAGCGGAGAACCCTGGAATCAAATTCCAGACACCTCTGGCTCACTGGGAAGTGCCTTTCACCAGAGGTTTGCTGACAAGCAACTCAAAAACGGACATAATCTAACTGTCAACTTATAATTTTTAACATCCTATATCACTTTTAAAGACCTAAAACTACATAATCACATTAGGAAAATCTCAGGACACAGCAATGAAATCACATTAGAAAGCTTCACTACACCCTCTTTGTTTATTTGCTTACTTATTCATTATTTTTTACAGTTAACTAAACAGTTGCAGATGAGAGACTTGCCTGAAATTCACAACCGGAAGAGCTGTGTCATGAAAACAGTTTCTGGCTCTTCCCTCTAGAGCTCATCAGGCAGATCCCTCCCTAGGTTTAGACCCAAGAAATAAAAAGCAACCTTGTGATTTTGATTTGGTTTCGCCTGCTGGGAAGTCAGAATATTATTATTAACTATTTAACATGGTATCCTGCCTGCTTTACGGTTATGGCTATCATTTTAATTATATATTATCTTTCTGGCTTAACAATCGTCCTCCTGTGAGTATGATTTTCACTCATCCATCATTTGATCACACTCTAGAAAGCTCCCAGCAACAGTTCAGACTGAGAAGCTAAGTGATCAGACACCAGCTCAGAGGAAAGTGACCCCCACCCTCAAACCCTCTTAAGCCAAGTGCAAGTATAATGCACGTAAAGTGATGATCTCAATGACAAACCATGAAAGACATTTGATACCACACTTATCAGCTATCAAAAATACAAAGAATGAAGAATCGTATACATCTGAAGCAGGAATGTGCCTTACAATCTATGGTCCTCAGATGTTAAAGATCTTAATTCTGCGATAGCTCTACTTTCATAAGACCATAAAGCTAGTTAGTTATGAGTTAAGAATAGAATACAGGTTATCTTGACTCACTTTTAACATTGGTATATTAAAAAATATCTCAGATATTCTTTAAAAACTCGCCTATGAATAAGAAAAATGAATCCAAGAAAAAAATTATTATTATTCCAAACCTAACATCACTAACACCTTCCTCCCCAACACCCTCCCCACCAGGGGGAAAAAGAAGCACGTTATAAAGCATAATTTACATGGGTGATCATCTACAGAGTTCTAAGATGCAATTCCTTTCCAGGGGCATTTACTATCTGAGATGAGCACTGCAGAAGTGGATGAAGATATTACAGACCACAAATCAAAAGAGCTGCATGAAAATATATTCATTAAGTAACAGATATATACATTAAGCATAAACACCAAGATGTGTAACTTATTTAGTATGGGAAAAGAAATATTTTGCTGAAAGCTCTGGCTTGGTCCTTTAGAAATTTACAATATTAACCAGCTTTTCTATTTTTTGAAGTGTCTTGTGACCCTTGCAGAGAATATTTCAGGCTCCAATAAAGAATTAGTGCTTTTTTCTAACTGAACGAAAAGACGGCCTGTTTGCTTTGAAAAATGGCTACCACCTGCTATTAATCTGAAACTGAAAACAAGCAGTGTAATGACATTTAACAAGTTAACACCCCTCTCCACCACTTTCCTGAAAGAAGAGCTTAAGTGACATTTCATAATCTTCCAAAAATAAAAAAAAAGTTCTAAGAAATAGGTTTTTATTTTACTAATAATAAACTGCAAATGACACATGAGATCATTAAAACCAGACACTGTCCCTGCAGCATGACAACTCTGGCTTAAGCACTGAAGGAATTCCCTCCCAAGTCTCCCTGTCTTTTTCCTTTACTCTTGTAGTCTGGTGTCAGATGAATACAAGCAGTAATGATGACACGATCAAGGAAGAGCTGACAACTGGCTGAGTATCTGTAGAAACACTGTTTAGCTGGTCTTGCCCTATTCTGCCCTCCTGGAGCTTTCCGTCACCTGAGGTGGCCTGCATCTTCAAGAGATCAAATGCAACATAAAACCGTTAATTGATCTATTCTCCAAAGAGTTCCTGGAACACTTCAGAGAACTTTCCCAATTTGTCTGATAGAAAGACCTGGCCACTAACTTCCTCAGCCCTACATAAGTATACAGCATAATCTAAGCAGATTAGGCAATTCACGACAGTCCTTAAGTGACTTTGGACATTCTGAGTAAACCAAACCCCATATACAAGCTAACAGAGTAAGTTTAACGCTAAAGTAATTAACCCATCTGAAGAACAAAATTAATTTAATGTATCTGTTCATTCACTCGACAAGCATTCAATGAAACCTATTTTATAAGAATCCTCACCAAACACAGCAGAATACAATGAATAACTTGTCAACTGCATCTCACTCAATGACCATAAACCAAAATCCTAAAGCTCCAAGTAACACAGAGAACTACAAAACTAGCAATGATCCATTTCTGTCTATAAATGCTATGTTTTTTAAGAATTTACAAATTGGGGTGGAGGGCAGCACACAGGCTGTATGAATAACCATAATAAAAGATAACATATGATAAGGACAATGAACATTAAAAGGGAAAGAAAGGATTGGATCAGCAGGACTGGAATGTGAAAGCTAGATGAGTAGGATTTAGATGGGACAAGACAGGGTCAAAGGCCACTGCAAGGAAAGGGACAATAAACAGAGGTCCAGAGGAGGGATGGCAGGAGGCCTCAGCAAGTCTAACAGTTGAAGAGGGAATTACAGTTAAGAGGGCAGAATGTAAGTGGGAACTGGGCCACAGGAAGACTTAACTGTCTGGCTAAGAGGTCTGGACTTCATCCTGCAGGCCATCGGGGGGCCTCTAAAGGTTTCTGAGTGTAGTGAAAACAGTATTTTAGGAAGATTAATCTTGGTGTATAGGATGGATTAGAAAGAGGGAGGATGCCAGTGGGGGAACCACTAAGGG